GTAGCTGTGCATGTACCTTCACGAAGAAAGGTGGGTAGGTTTAACGAATGTTTCATTTGTAACTCCACTTTTAGCTTTATGCATTCTGGAATTAAGGTTTAAATCACACAAAATTTCGTATATGATGGAACTAAAACATATATTGAAATCGAATGGTGTGACTTAAACTAATGGCATTGATAGCCAATTTTTAGATATATCTGCATGAGATATGAAGAAAAACAGGGCTTGGAAGAATTCCTTAATGAAATATTGTAGCATGACTCTCCATTTTGAAGGGAAAGTTAGTTGGAAGGAATTCGTGATGTGGTCCCCAAGGCAACCGAATGAGGATTGTCGCGTATGGAAGACTGTTGAATTGTACGAAGGAGTCCTCGACTCACCATCCTGGGACCCCGATGAAATTGTGCTAAGCTTTTATCTGTACTGTGGCATACGTGATCATGGCAAGAATCCATACTTCACAAAATAGAGTAAGCTATACTAAATCAAAAGAAAGGGTGGCTGGCTACAACCCTTGAGTCAAGGATTTCCTCGCACAATTCAACAGTCTTCCCTACGCGGCAATCCTCCTTCGGTTTTCGGTGGGACCACATCACGAATTCCTTCCAACTAACTTTCCCTTCGAAATGGAAATTCATGCCAAAATATTTCACTGAGAAATTCTACGAAACACTTACATTTTCCTTAATTTCCGGGCACGATTTCCCTGCAATCGATGTAAATGAAAGTGAATAAAGAAGAGATTCGTTGGTTGATCTCACCAGATGAGGACGGATAGATCACGTTGTACTGCAGCCATTTAGCTTTTATACGATATTCATGTTGACGCAGTCCACGAGACTTCCTCACTCATTTCGGGTGGAAACGTGCTGAGCAATGTTATCTCAAGAGATTCATCGAAACCCAGTTTCTCTTCGTATCTACGATTTAAATGAGTTTGTAAATAAAAACAAACAGCAACTGCCTAGTATATCTCAAAAAATATGCCTTAATCTTTCCAAACATCATGGAGTAATTGGACAGATACATTTCAACCAGAAGACCCTATGGAACGTATCCACAACACCTACATTGTAGTCGGCATCGTAAAGCGCCATCCTCTGCAACGAGTTACAAATATTCAATGTGACAAGGGAAGGCAAAACTCTTGAGCATTTTTTTGTTCAAAGATCGTAGAATTCCTCTTTCCTTCTTGCCTTAGATTCCTGGCTTTGCATCCGTCTTCTTCCTTGCATCCTCTTCCCTTAATGCTACTTTATACAAATTTTCCTTCCTAATTGATTCAATCTCTTCCAGGTGTGAGGCTCTTAAATTTGGTCTATTAAAGCTACTAATCTTTTTCATCGGTTTTGCAATTGTTTCTGATCCAAATACTTTATTTGTTCGGCTTCCCCTGATTTATCTATGTCCATGATTTTTCAGTAGCTGGCATTCTTTAATTCGTTTGCTGTTTATCCTTTACATCAAGGCGTTGATCTTTTGTCCACAATTATTCTAGCTAATGTAATAAACTCCAGGTTAGTATACATTTTTTGGCTTTTTCAAGTTGTACATGTAAGTTTGTGAAGAGTGAATTTAGTTTTTTCACGACCGTACGAGTATTCCATTCCAGCGGTATTGGCTGCTGTTTCAGGGCTGACGCACAGAAGGATTGGCATAACAACCTTTACCCCCCTGCCTCCCTTGCCTTTCTTACAGGGTTTCCTGTAAACAAATAATCTTCGCGTCAAAAAATGCTAACTGTCTATTCTCCTCTACCTCCACTCAAAATTAACCCTTTTCACCAATATCCCCTAATCAAATTAAGAACTCATCCTATCTTCTCCCATGAGAGCGGAATATGAAGAGATATGGTTTAATCAATGTTTCTCGTTTATAAGCAGGCTTTAGATGCTACCAGTAGATCATATGTATGAGATGTATTCATCCTATTTTTCAAGATAGTAAGAGGGCTGATAGCCGAATTTTCCCACAACGATGTGAATAGAAATGACGCTTCCATTGAATTTACATAGCCTTGCTTTCCCAGAAGTTATTATAATCCAGGGTGGACTGCAGTTTCGACCTTGCCTAGGTCTTACCAACCTTTTCTATTGAGCTAATATTTTGCATTCCTCTTATAACAATTTCTTATAGACGTTAGCTGACACAGATGATAGCGATTTTACCATTTGCCGACCATTCATTTATGCATAAATGAGGCTCTTAAATTTGAAATATGTAGTTTTTATAGGCAAATAGCACAATAATGTTAAAGGTAACTTCAGAATGAAACTCCGTCTACAGGATATCGTCCTTACATTGCAAAAACTCGAGCATTGCCGTAAACATCTTCTCCCCTAAGATGTTCTGACAGATGGAGTGTACATCAATGCTCAACAATTTTTCCCTTTATTACAGCCTGATTTCTTTGATATTTTGACAAATTTCGTAATAATTTTACATTGTTTTTGATAAGGTATAGTTCATATTCTTTGAATTATGGCATATAAGCTTAGCTAGTTTATGTGCTGCCCCTTGCTTGTTATTGAATAATAGACTGTGAGTATATTTCTTTGTACTTTTTTGACAAACCGTATGCTGTCGGTAGTCCTGCGTTCTTTCGCAATTATAAACTTGTGATTTTACAACTATGCTTCATTTAGTTCTGCATTTCTTACTAAAACTTTTATTTCTTAGCTATTTAGTCATGTCTTAGTCGCCGATAAGTTGTTCTGTCTCCAACACTATTAAATTTTGATTGGCTTTACTGAAACCTTCTTGTTGATGCTATTTCCGAGGCAGTCTCCTTTGATTCTGATGAAAACGTGCAAACTACGTTTTCTTGACTCGTTAGCTTAAATATGGTCGTATGAATGATATCATGCTCTGACGATGTCCGCCATGTGACGGGCAAAAGCCTAGCACATTTTCACCGGAATCAAGTATATTAACACTTGCTTTTTATAATTATTTCTATCAATTACTACAGTGACACCTTCTTTCACTGCCTGTAGAAATATTTTGCCACTTCGTGTTAATTTTCTATCTATTCTTGTTATGCCATTCCTATTTCTAAGTTCTTAATGCGCAATGATTTTCAGGATAATCTCCATTTCCATTGCAAGTTCTGCTTCTTTCAGTAACCTTTCAAAAGCACCGGTAAACTGTTTATTTATTTCCTTTCACTAAAAGGTGCAAAATTTAATCCGTTATTGTTGATTATCGTAGTTTCGAAATCAAAATGAAGTGGGAATAAAGGCACTACTTTATAGTCCTCTTTTATTCGATCAGTGAGATTTATCCTTCTATAAAACTTGTTTAGAATTCTTTAAATTAGTGAAGACCCTATTTAGAATATTCAAATTTTCTTCCTTAAGATGCAAAGTCTCCCAGGTAAATCCAATCTTTACACTGTCTTCAGGTATATTATATGTATTTTTATCTTTAAATGTTAAAGAGGCCAAATATCATCTCCATTTTTTGAGGAAGGAAAGTCTTGAACAAATATTAAAATTGAAGATATGAAGGCCAAGATGGTGTGGTCTTTTGTGTGTTCGTAGTCTCTTTTCGTTGTATAGAAGTTGTTTGAGCTTGTTTTTGCTACTTGATCATATTGGTAGGAAGACTTAGAGGAACGCACCTAGTCCCGAGTCCATTGTATGCATTATCATTTCCAGAGTAGGACCGCGGACGTGGTACATTGCCAGACGTTCCGCCTGCATCGTAGCCGGCATCATCATGGTGCTACGAATGGCGAGACTCCCTGATAATGCCGACTACGATGCAGGCGGAACGTCTGCCAATGTACCAAGTCCACGGTTCTACTCTGGAATTGATGATGCATACAATGGTCTTCGGACTAGGTGCATTCCTCTAAGTCTTCCTATCAATATGACCAAGTTGCGAAAACAAGGTCAAATAACTTCTAAAATGAATATTTTTTATTAATTATAATACAGCTAAGTCTTCGAGTAGACTATCTGTTGGTCGAAACGGATAAATAAAAGTAGAGGACGATGATAATGGGCTTCCAAGCTGTTTGCATTATTCTGCCCTTGTATGCAAAATTTTTTTTTCTTTGATCAAGAGCATAGTGGCGTACTAGGAAATATGCATTTATTCAAATATGCATATAGCGCAACAGCAAACATGTAAAGATATATAATCAAAACTCAAGACTGGTTAGAGCTGGCTGGCCTTTATCTACAAAGTAGAAGGCAAATATTGACATAAACCACATGAATAACTACAAATAAAAAAAGTTGTCTAATTGTATTCAACAGGCAGTTCAGATAATTGTAATTAAGATACAATCAACAAAAGCAAGTTAGATTGCAAATGCTGTAATGATCACTCTTTTAAAACGAATATATGGAGGCAGGGAAATAGACATAAATTACCGATGGCTCACAAATTTAGATTCGATTAAAGAAAGGAGGGTCATTACTTTTGTATTAAGAGAGGAAATAAAGAACAAGCAGTACCCAGTTAAACATATACAAGTCATCACTCCTAATTTTGTTAAATTGTATTATCTTTGAAGATTAAGATAATAAAGGGCTTTTTCTTCGTGTAAAACCACGTTTTTAGATCCTGGAATTAGTTATGTTGTATCGGATTGAACTCTCATTCTTTGTACATACAAGAAAGAAAAAATTATCAGTGTCCTTCGAATTAACAAGGCTCCCTCAAGAGAAAATATTATCATTATGCAAAGATTAATTCTAAGGAAATTGATGGTTAATACTTATTATTCCAAATATATTACTTAAGTAAAATGTTTATAAAGAATATAATTATATCTGTTTTTGAGCAAATTTGTGGCGATTGTATCCATTAAAACAATAAATGCTCCACGGAATAATATATTATGCTAATAATGCTAATAATAATAAATGACAGACGATAGGACCTTGAAGCATTATTAAGGAAGACGCTTCATTTCATCAAAAATTATAATCAATTTGAGTGTTTATGAAATTTTGAGATACTGTCCTTTATTACTTCAATGGGGCCTAACAAGAAACCACATTGGGTAGAGTATAATATAAAAACTCACTTAGCTGGAGAGTCTCAAGCGTCTCAGCAAGACTCCACTCACTATAGAGATGCTTGCCTTGCTCCGTCACTGCCCTTACACTGACAGAATATCGATATCCCGGAATCAAGTTACTCAAACGAATAGAATTCGTGCTAGTGGTTATAATATTTTCATTGAGATCGATGAGAGAGGCTAAAATAAAACAAGTAAGCCCGTGAAATATGTAAACAATAACCTTAGACAATATTTTTTATAAATGCCAGATACAATATCATTTGGATTGAGGTGCTATAAAAACAGGCGAACGGATGGTTTGTAGAATAAAGATAATTTGTTAAGATTGAATGAAATGATGCCTGAATATTAAAGAAAATATGAATTTGCTCAAACAAGGCTCAGCCTCTTCATAAGAGCAGTTACTTTAGCCTGATGTCAACCTCTGTCCTTTAGCTACTTCGTATAAAGTCATATGATTAATTTGGTTATATATATATGTATATATATTTATTCTAAAAATTTAGGCATCCTACGGTCAATATTATGGCTATGTAGAAGTTGAGTTAGGCTTTCATACACATTAATTTTCACATACTTTGAGAATTCTAGTCCAGCATGGATAAATATTCCTTACAAGTCAAATACTGTGAGCACAATCAAGAGCAAATGGAATTAAGTGCCGTTTAAAAAATGTAAATATTAAATAACGTTGGAGCAACTATAATATCGAAAATAGATAGCTACTATGAGGCGTTACCTTAAGTAACTTATAGCATAATCTACAGGATGCAGAAAACGGGGACTTGATTTTGTCTAATTTAGAGAACTATATGACTTCCTGCTGTATGGCATAAAGTAATAATTTGCAACGCCTTTCGAACTTCTTATTTGCTCTTCAAGAATTGCAAGCTTATGTAAATAAAAATCTGACTCAAGCTTACAATTCGTCTGATAGCACGGTTCTTAGTGTGCCTAACCTATCAATATGATTTGATGAGGATACACCTAAAAATTCAAGCAGAATAGCTTGTTATCTCATTTTATTCCTGAATGAACGGAATTTAAGAGATCGTATGATATGAATTTCTTAAAGAACTGTTAGAAATTAATCAAATAGTAAAAACTGTTTTAGCCCTTGAAATAATCCACAGAGAGCAAGGTATGTTTATAAATCTAGACATATATTAATAATAAATAGCGAAAACAACTTGTATATCCACACCTTAGTGTATGAAATTTCTAAGAACCTACTTTAGCAAGTAGTTTTCAACAAGAAAAATGAGAAATATCATATAATGAGTCTTATAGGGTGTTCGAATGAAAATAAATAGTCAAAATTTGATCTAACCATGAGCATCGTCTTTGAGAAGCAATATTATGCAAAATTCATAGAAAAGGTAAATTCTTATCATGAACTCATAAGAAGATAAAAAACTAGGCCCTGTAAATACAAAGTAAAGAATGGAGGCCAATATTCTAGCATTAAGCTGATAGCTAATTAATAGCCTTATTGATGGGCAAACTTATTAAGTAATGACATAGATTTACACAAATAGAGACTACCTTAGTCAACTACACTAATGTTTATACGATTAAAGAAATCTTAACGATTCTAAAGTGAAAACAGCCCTACATTGATCTATACCAATGGGGTACCTTTGACTGTGAATTGTATCCGTATTCCACTTACCATTTAGGATTGTGAGATCAAATCCTTGATCTCCCGGTGAAAGAATAATCTGCTCCATGGCCTCATAACGGACTTGATATTGCCGTTCTAGAATCACTTCTTCCACATCGGAAAACAGCTCCGATCGGGTGGGTACCCGATAAACAGAGGGTGCATCCCATGCAATTGTTGCCCACTCTGCTCCATTTGCGATTACGCGTACATTAATCGGTATCTCGAGGCTTCTATTTACTGGTTATGGTAAAGAGAGAATAGATAATGTAAGAGATAGGTATACAATTGTTCTGAGATAGACAGTTCACTCCTTCCCTGGCATATTATGTTGTAGAGTATCAATAAATATATCCATGAATAAAGTCTATTAAAAAAACATTTAAAGAAGTGAGTTGACCTCGTTGTCGCAACTTGGTCTTGTTAGGGAGACTTAGTAGAACACAACTAGTCCGAAGTCATCTGAAATAGTAGTTGTCATGATTCCCAGTACCAGACGACTTCGGACTAGATGCGTTCTACTAAGCCACCCTGACAACAAGGCCAAGTCACGACAATGAGGGAGACTGCAACCATGCCAGAGGCCACAACATCTTGGTCTTCATAACTTTCCACATTTGAAGATATCCATTATTTTTATTTGTGTCTGGAAATCTAAAATAATATGTTGCGATGTATAATCATTGCCGAATTTCTAAGGTCCTGAACAAGTCTTGTATATAATAGGGCCAAAGTAGTCGTTATATAACGTAACAAGATCGGCTTGACAGATAAAGTCGATGTAATCGGAATCCTGAAGCTGTCTGCTTGCGCTGGATTTATAAATGTGAAAAAACTTAATAATTTTAATTTGCTATTCGCATTTTCATTGTGTTAAGGTGAAAATAAATAGGAACAAAAACGTTATCCGAGAAATTAACCTCTGCATAATATATCAATAACCACATAACCAATAGTCACGCTGGTATTATGAGATTTAGCATTAAACGAATCTAAATGGAATGAATAGGACGATTCATTATTTAGATTTGTGAGGCGTTAATTCCTGTCCGATATTGCTTTAGTGCAAAATAAAATTTGGTGCTAAAGTGCGATATCTATGTAGAGGTCAAAATGCCTATGGCAAGCAACTCTTATCTTTGGGCTATAAAGCATAAATAATAAGGCATCAATTTCAATAATAAATGTAATTATATAACGGCGTATAAAATCAATGCTTATTGATGAATCTTACAAGATTGAGAATAAATTCTTCTAGAATGAAATCGTGAACAAGTCAAATAAGTGAAATTTGAACCAGCTGCATACAATTTTACTTTGGACAGAACATCCTTCTCTTTAAGTTGAAAGAGAAATAGCCCAGAATGTTCATTTATTTAAAACGTAAAGATCGATGATAAAAGCTGGTTTACTGAGCGGTAATACTTTATTAAGCAACTATAAATAGAGCATTACTTTAAATAACTCACTCGAGGTTTTTTTTGTGGTCGCAAGATGCATTGTCTTCTCACTTCTTTGTCTATTTTTAAGAAGCGTTTCAATGGAAACAATATAATTGGTTTCGGGTTCTAGAATTAGATAGAAAAGATAGATTTGATCTGAGATGCAAGAAAGTTAGAAAATTTGGTCCCCACAATGAATCTAAATGAACTTACGAACAGATTGCATATTTTACTTTAGAACGCCTATAATATTCCTTATGAAAACAGAACAATTATTAAAGAATTTTGAGATGCAGAAAATAGTAAATTTAAATTGCAGGCGGACTCCCTAATTTAATTAGGTCTTTACAACACAAGCGATGAAAGGCCTACGATCCAGCCATGCATCTTTTCAAAAAGAACTCGAAGCATTTAAGCGCAAGATTGGATAGTACAGGGGGCTGATTTTAAAACAATTTCACTCGGGAAAACTATAAACTACAGAACCTACATAATTACACTATCAGCACTGACAAACGGCAACCATTAAGTTATTAATAGTTAGATTTCTAAATAAGTAGAACCTTCTCTAGCTATGCTCACCCTTTCCTAAGCCCGCTTCCAGCCTTCCAGACTCCCTACTTATAGTTACTTATAAATTTAAGGGTTCTCAAACAAGTCTTCAATCATGATGCCCTATAGTAGTAACACAATTTGTATTGTATACATTTCTATGAAAGTTTCCACATATGAAGAAATTCAGTCACTGCATAAATCGAGATGACAGTAGGTTCAAACTGCTTAAGAGCTCTGTGAGGAAGAACAAAGAAAGAACTGCTGTTTCGGTTTAAATTTTATCCGTTTTCCCAAATATTTTTCCAGATATGGATTATTACTAACCTATTGTGAAGATACCATTCAGTGAAATAAATTCATGTACATAGAGTAATAAACTCTTTCGGATTTTGCTTATATCAGACAAAGCATTTTTGTGATATCGAAACATTGCGTCTAGAGCCAATGGAAGACAGCATTTGGGAATCGACAAATAATCAAATCAGCTTGGATTTAAGTTTGAGTATTCAGTGCTCAGTCGTGTCCCATGTATATATATTACGATTTTCTAAAAAGAATATCATATAATTTCTTCTTTGAAGCATTTGAATTTTGAATTAATTAGTTACTCCCCTTCGTAAACGAGATAATAAAGCACAGTTACTTATTTCGTAAGTGAGTAGGTTTTAGAGACTACCAGTAAATCAGATATATGAGTTAGGTTCACCCTATTTCGTTTAAGGTGATAAAGGACGGTTAGTAGAATTTTGCCACAATGATAAGAGTAGAGCTGACGTTTCCATTAAATTTCATATAGCCTTGCTTTCCCAAAGGGTGTACTCATCCAGGGTGGATCAAAATTTCGACCCCACATAAATCTTACAAAGACCCCAAGCGGGAGTCGAATAATAAAAGTGCAGCGTGTAAGGTTGACACGTTAAAAACTACGCCATATTGCCACGACTGTCCTTAGGTCACAGGGCAGATGTGAATTGCATTTAATGTCAGGCATTTTCCATATTACATTCTGTGTTGGGATTATCGATAAAGCAAACTTATATTTACTATAGGAATCGACGACATTAATTTTCTTAAGTGAGTAGGTTTTCGAGACTACCAGTAAATAGGATATACGACTCTCGCTTGGGGCATTGATAAGATCTATGCGATGTCGAAACCGCAGTCGATCCTGGATGAGAACACCTTCTGGGTAAGCAAGGCAATGTGAAATTCAATGAAAACGTCAGCTATATCCATATCATTGCAAGAAAAATCAACTACCAGACCTTCATCACCTTAAACGAAATAGGTTGAACACAATAGAGTTACATAGACTAAGAGGTTTGACACTACACATGTTAGCAAGGTAGAGGGCAACGATATTTATACAGAACTGAAAATGCACCAATGATTTTTAATTTACCTAAACCTTCAATGGAATAAGTTGATGCAGATGAGTTGAGAATGATTGGTCCTTGGCTCGGCAATTCGGCACCCCATTTAATCTCAAAGCCCAAAGGCTCAATGCCAGAGCTGATGCATAAGGGAGGTGACCACAGCAGTAATAGGCTACGTTCCCCCCCTTCAACACGTAAATTATCTACCTAATAAGAGAAAAATAAGATTTTAAAATACTGTATAGTTGATTACGGCGGTTAAATATAAGTTAATTAAAATAACTAGTCCGATTTCATTATCTAATATGTAATATAGCTTCTGTTACAAGGTCTTAGACACTCATTAATTTAAGCAAATAAATTAATACAAGACAGTAGTAAACAGCAGTATATTCAATATCAAAAAGTAATATAAGAAACAATAAACATTATTTCAACATAGTAGGCTATTTGCAGCTATTGAGAAATCACCACGTTTACAGATTTACTTTTTCTGGATTTT